CAGACAACCCCTCTTACGCTACCATTGCTTTGGCAAGGACGGAACTTCAACATATACACATGAAAATATACATTTATTAGAATGAGACCACTGTCACATTTGATTGTTTCTTAAAGTTACAAGGAAAACGTCTTTGAGAGGCATTAAGAAGTTAGAGTACTAAGTAAGGATAAGATATATGGATGAACAACTTCTTTATTACAGTTCGGAGCGACGTTTCGATGAAGGTACAAGCACCGAAACGTCGCTCCTAATTGTAATAAAGAAGTTCATCCATATATCCTATCGTTACTAAGTAACATGGGAGTTGAGGATATGAAAATGAATAAGGAGTGGTGTTTATCCTTTTTTCAGGTGTTTATATGTTATTTTATTTTTTAAAGTAACAATTGGGTTTAACGCCTACTGGACAGTATTCCAGATACGTCACTCCATCAATTGGTGTTGGAGGAAAGCCCGAAATGATTCAAGTCTAAGGCGTTCATAAAAAGATGAGAAATTGAAGAACAAAATGATTCTGCTGAGCTCTTAGGGAGTGATGAAGTCATGAACACCCGCGTTCTTCATCCCAGCTGCGTTTCTAGAGTGCTTCAGTGTCAGCCTCGCACGTGTGAGTATCTACTGGGTCAGAGGTCAACAGATGAAAGCATTGACAAGAATATTGATCATTCATATACACACGTTTACCTGGCCCAGAGGAAACACAGCATACATATGTTCACGTGGCTTAGTCCTATTTACAAGACAAGTATCAGCCACAGACCGTATGGGATCAGCAATGGATACAAACACAATACCCATTGGCCGGTGACCTTTGTGAGACATCGCCATGCAGGCGTTGCCTGGCATGTATATATAGAAAGGCGGAACCTTTTTTTATTATTTTGGAAAATGAAATAACAACACTGGTCCGAACATCTGCCATTGATGAATGAAACTTCTTCTTTTTAAATATTTGAAAAATGCCTAGTATGTGAGCCAGTGTGTGAGTTGGGTTTACGCCGTTTTGAACAGTATTCCAGTTATGTCACGGCGTGTGGGCTTAATGTGGGAGGAAAGCCCGAAGAGATGCGAGCATTTCACGTTTACCATTGTGGTAAAACCCACAAACAGGTATGGTGCCGACATACCTAGAAACATAATCAGGGCGAACCGGGATTCGAATCCGCGATCAGAGGTTTATGAATTGCCAAGGGACGTAACTCTGCACAGAGAATTGCGGCGCCTTACACGACTGGACCACCCGTGTTCCGCCTAGTCTGTTAACTAATCAGGATATTTTCAATAATCTATTCAGTTTGAATGAGGATTTTATCTTTAGTATTACTCAAGAAGTGAATTATAATTAATTCTATATTACAAACTCGTCATTGCTCGTCAAAGAGTGAATCGTTGCTCATGGCTTCAAGTATTGGTTTGGTTGGTCCAGATTCCAATATTTCCAGGGCCTCGTTAATATTAGTGACTTCTACGTCAAACAGCATTCACTCACTCATTCAGTGACTACATATTATCCTCAGTGCATCCCATCAACAACCCCCATGTCTTTTGTGAGTGTATATAGTGGGAAATGTGATGATGCGAAAGTGAGATGGCGTGAGTGTGATGATTTGATGTTGTGTTGGCGTGAGAGTGTGACGAAAACGCCGATATCTGCTGGCTGTACCACAGACACAAATGCCATCTTATGACGACATGACATCTTATATATAATCAGCATTTCTAAGCACACAAACCTTGCTCTTTTCTCTTGAAATTGTCTCCGAGTTGCGCCACAGATATATCACGTCGGTAATATTTAACGTTGCACCAAGCATTGCAGAACCCGTAGAAGATATTCTAATCCCCCTGAGTGTGCATCAAGGGGTTTCGTGTTTTTATAGAGAGTTGAACTGGATCATTTGACTCATCGGGTGACGTTGATTAGCAATGATGCTGTACAAGACTTACAGTGTGATCAAATCATCTGTCACAGTACAATATTTGTATCAGATTACACTGTGATCAAGTCCTCGGCCACAGTACAATATTTGTGTCAGAATCAACTGTGATCAGATCATCAGCAACAGTACAATATTTGTATCAGATTATACTGTGATCAAGTCCTCAGCCACAGTACAATATTTGTATAAGATTACACTGTGATCAAGTCCTCAGCCACAGTACAATATTTGTGTAAGATGACACTGTGATCAAGTCCTCACCCACAGTACAATATTTGTATCAGTTTATACTGTGATCAAGTCCTCAGCCACAGTACAATATTTGTATCAGATTACAATGTGATCAAGTCCTCAGCCACAGTACAATATTTGTATCAGATTACACTGTGATCAAGTCCTCAGCCACAGTACAATATTTGTATCAGATTACACTGTGATCAAGTCCTCAGCCACAGTACAATATTTGTATCAGATTATACTGTGATCAAGTCCTCAGCCACAGTACAATATTTGTATCAGATTACACTGTGATCAAGTCCTCAGCCACAGTACAATATTTGTATCAGATTACACTGTGATCATGTCCTCAGCCACAGTACAATATTTGTATCAGATTACACTGTGATCAAGTCCTCAGCCACAGTACAATATTTGTATCAGATTACACTGTGATCAAGTCCTCAGCCACAGAACAATATTTGTATTAGAATACACTGTGATCAAGTCCTCAGCCACAGTACAATATTTGTGTAAGATTACACTGTGATCAAGTCCTCACCCACAGTTCAATATTTGTATCAGATTATACTGTGATCAAGTCCTCAGCCACAGTACAATATTTGTATCAGATTACACTGTGATCAAGTCCTCAGCCACAGTACAATATTTGTATCAGATTACACTGTGATCAAGTCCTCAGCCACGGTACAATATTTGTATCAGATTACACTGTGATCAAGTCCTCAGCCACAGTACAATATTTGTATCAGTTTACAGTGTGATCAAGTCCTCAGCCACAGAACAATATTTGTATCAGATTACACTGTGATCAAGTCCTCAGCCACAGAACAATATTTGTATCAGATTACACTGTGATCAAGTCCTCAGCCACAGAACAATATTTGTATTAGAATACACTGTGATCAAGTCCTCGGCCACAGTATAATATTTGTATCAGATTACACTGTGATCAAGTCCTCAGCCACAGTACAATATTTGTGTCAGTTTACAGTGTGATCAAGTCCTCAGCCAAAGTTCAATATTTGTATCAGATTACACTGTGATCAAGTCCTCAGCCACAGTACAATATTTGTGTCAGATTACACTGTGATCAAGTCCTCGGCCACAGTACAATATTTGTGTCAGATTACACTGTGATCAAGTCCTCGGCCACAGTATAATATTTGTGTCAGATTACACTGTGATCAAGTCCTCGGCCACAGTATAATATTTGTGTCAGGTTACAGTGTGATCAAGTCCTCAGCCACAGTACACCACGTGTTTCACAGTTCACTATGATCAAGTCCTCAGCCACAGTACAATATATGTTTCACAGTTCACTATGATCAAGTCCTCAGCCGCAGTACACTATGTGTTTCACAGTTCACTATATCCATCATCACGTGTTCTTCAGAGGTCTGTGGTTGTTATCATTGACAAGGCCTAAAATAACATATCCATTATATGCAACCCTTACAACAGTAATATTTTGTTAAAGAACCTGGTATATGTGACATATCCGAAAATGTGAGCTCCTTCGCCTACACAGCAAGCTCCAAGTGGGAAGAACTCCCTCTCTCCATAAAGACTTTCTAGTCACTCTCCTGATTTAAGAAAAAACATCAAGACCCAGCTGTTTTAAAAATTCACTTTCTATAAGTTTCATTTGCAGCGCACAGAGCACGGATGAAGTTGACGGATGCCAAAGTAGACACAATTTATGGATAACAACTTCTTTAATGCTGTAAAGGCGACGTTTCGGTATAGATCCTTATACCGTTGTCAAGCAAATTGTGTCTACTTTGACATGCGTATGATATTGTAGAAATCGTAAGATGGAGATTTCTTTTGATTATGAAAATGGCTTTGTCGCCTTTTTTCCCAGAAGAAACGTGTGTAAAACACATCCCAACACATAAAGACCTTCTGCCGTTTTCGCTCTTTTTCGTAAAACTCACTGCACGTTTAAAACCGGCCTCGTGAGATGGCGACACGCGAGGGGTCAGTCCCTGGATTGACGTCCCCCATACCACATTCCCCTTCTGACCGACAGCCAAGTTCCTCCAAGACGTGACGAGCCGAGACCTCCAAATATTCCACCTGAAGTCCTTAGTCAACATCAGATTCTTGATCTGATGTATATCTAACGTTCGTTTAGTTCTTGGTGTATGTCAACTTTGAAAAATCGTTTTCATCAAACATTTGACGTGGTGTGTAATGGGACTCTATATGACTACTATTTTCTGTCTGTTGGACTTGGATTATGGTCAGGCAACTTTTCGGTGTTGGCTGACGTGGAGTTGGTGGTGGGTGTTAAGGACAATACTATGATATTGTCCCCCGTTTTGGATTTTTTTTCACCTCACGTATCGAACATTCAAGATTAGTCTCAACATGTTTGTACCAATATAACCGCCGACTCAAGTAATTTTTAAATGATTTTTTTATTGTTTTACTGTAAAAATGAAGATTGGACATTGCTTTATCAGTAATATCTAAAATAATGCATGTACCGACTCGTGTTAGGCAGTTTGAAGTACCGATCCTAAGTCTTTTCTTTTTCCTTCAACAGTCCCAGGTATAGCGCGTAACCACAGTACCAAGTGCCACCAGCAAAATATAGGTTTAGCTATAGCTCTCTAATGCATCTAACAAATTTGTTTAACGTACGTTTGCACAAGAAGCGTAAAAACGTAACGTTATTTCAATACATTATCCTTCCATACGCTCTCACGTCAACACAAACAGAGCACAGTCCGTAACAGGTATCTGCAATGTCAACCACAACGAGAATCTCGGCTATTTTGACCGCTCAACATTTTAACAAGTGTAGGGATTTACAGAGTTTGGATTATTTTCGAAGTTCTAAAATAAGTTCTCCGACGTCCGCTAGCGGCACGCGGCGCGGAAGACGTGCGAGGGAGGAAGGACCCGGATTTAGCAGCGGGCTTCGCTGTGATACGCAGTGTGCCGAGCAGCAGGAAAGGCATCGCCGAGTGTTTCGGCTGGTTCGTCATTCGGTCAACCTTGCTCACTTACGCCGGATTGTATCTCGCTCTCTCCTCACACCAAGTATCATGGATCGCTCAACAGTGGGATTTACTATAATAATGTGTTTTCTATTTCAAGGTAGGCAAAAAATCTACTTTTTTTCTCCTTTCTTTTTTTTCTTGCGTGAAATCACTGATACTCATTTATATATACGTGTTTTATGCCAGCTTTCATAACAGATTGTTATCGGAATATTTCGCTACAGCACCCATCTCTGTCGTGTAGTGGTTCAAGTTGACACCTCGCTAAGGTGACATAGAAAATTATACACATATTTTTCTAAATTATAAATTCAGTGCATAATCATGCCAAAAGTGTACATTATGAATGAAGCTTTATTGATGTAACCAATATTTTTGGTCAAATACATTTTTATATTTATTCGTTAAAAGGTAAACATTTGTTTAATGTTTTACAAATGTATATTAAAAATTTCATGTTTATCATCAGTAGGGGCGGTCGGGTAGCCTAGTGGTTAAAGCGTCGTCACGCCGAAGACCCGGGTTCGATTCCCGACAAGGGTACAATATGTGAAGCCCATTTCTTGTGTTCCCCGCCGTGATATTGCTGGAATACTTGCTAAAAACGGCGTAAACCCATTCTCATTCATTCATCAGTAAAATTATAAAAGAAATATATCGAAAGTGTATTTACATTTATCATGTCTACCATGGATAAGACTTTATCAGGGAAACAATGCATTCTCATCAAATATTTTGTATAATTAATTACTATCAAACATATTTTACTGGAATACCTATCGTTATCTCGACCAAACAACGGTAGTCTTAGGATAAGCGTCATGTTGATAAGCGGAAGATATATCCAGGAAGCCAGTTAGGATGTGCGTCTGTCTGTATGGGATTAACGTTGTGATACGACACCGACGGTGAAACAACGTCCTTTTTTACCTAATCGGTATGGATTAATTATTTAGTTTTTGTTCTTTTAAGCATTGAGACATGCAAGGGAACATTTTGGAGGTATTATTTTTTAGGTTTATTTTGGCAGCTCGCACAGGTAACATATTTTTGGCACAACTTGCGGCTCAGTTTTGTTTGTTATCTGTTGGATATTGTTAAAGATCAAATTATCCTTGAACGTTTATTCCTTGCAGAAAGGTCAAATATTTTCCAAAGGCCATTTTGTGCTTACGGTGGCAACATTTACCAATAGTTTAGAGCGCAGCTGATGATTTCTTTTTTATTTGAAGTAAGCTTTTCTTCTAAGAATGTTATTTCTGGCATCGAATAATAGAACACAGAAACAAGTTACTATCTGCTTCATTCTCACCAAATGGGAAAATACTGAAATATTCTTTTGGCGTTTAGTAAAAGGAAACAGCCATACAGAAATTGACACATCATTTCATCTATTTTAAAACAACGTAGAAATAAATATAGTGAGAATTTAATTGAGGGTGGATATCAGCAATTTACTGCCATGACGTTATTCCCTCTTATATCATCCCATGGGATTCCAGGGCAGAAGGTGCTCCAACAACCTATGATGCTTGTAAGCGGCGACTTATGGATGGGTGGTCATGTTCTATGATGTGGTTTATTGCATGTCATAGTACCCCGACGGCATAGATCGTTGTACATAATATCAATCACTGGATTGTCTGGTCCAGACTCGATTATTTACAGACCGCCGTCATATTGCTAGGGATATTGCTGAGTGCGGCGTTAAACAACAAACAAACAAACAAACAAACAAAAACCTCTGACATCAAGACCTGACCATTTTTGGTCCTTTGTTCATGTGGCCAAGAGGTAAAGGCTGTTAGCAGATGTGTTTTTACGTACAATATTCTTATTGTTTCTGTCACGGCATTCGTTTGAATAGAATGCCACAGCTATATCATAGGCCTCAGAGTCGGTGCGACAGGGGCGTCTTCTACGTCCGTTTCTTTTCACCAGTTTCATGGCATTTATGTTCTTAACGCGAAGACTTACAAAAGGTTGCGTGTGTCAGTTATAATGAGTTCAGGTTTACCCTCTGAAACAATGTATTGACTGTTTCTTTGGGTAGTCTTCATGAGGGACTGACATAGTTACACGTAGTGTATTGTGCCCAATTCTTGTCTGATTCCATATCCTGAAAATCGCATATTTTATTCTTTTAAACAATTTCTGTACTTTTTTCCTTCACACCATCCCTACCGACCATATCAAACCCGATGCGTTACTCATGTAAGCTTCGCTCGTCGCGTCGATGACCAGGGTTCGATTCCGCACATGGGTACAATGTGTTAAGCCCATTTCTGGCGTCTCCCGCCGTGATATTGCTGGAATAAAGCGGCGTAAAACCACACGCGCTCACTCATTCAGTCATGGGGGCAGGGTTATTTCTAGAGTATTGAGTCCACTGTTTTGAAAACGCATCGCTCCATTTTCTTGAAACTGTAACATGACACGGCCTTGTTTTCGTTATCAATACAAGTTTAATATTGATGACTTACTTGTGTATTTATTTAATTTAATTACCCCTTTATTATAAAAAAGGTGAAATCTTTTTCTTTTTCTTTTTCTTTTCGTTCTGTTTTTGTCATGTACATATTTTATAGGCCATCGGACTCGGCGAGTAGACTTGTCTGAAACACGTGACATTTGAAGGGTTGAAAAGTACTCTCAAATTGTAACTCATTGCGAGAACACGTGATTGTCGAGTTAATGAACATAGCGACGTATAGAGGTTTTGGCGACGTTTTAAGCCTCTACCTCGTCTTCGCGGGTGACAATTAGCACAGACCAAACAACATCAGCGACGGGGAACCCCAGCCTCATTATTTACTTCCATGCCAAACGTTTACCACCTCTTTTCAAATCGAGCAAGCGCCACGACTCGCGCTTTCCTTAAACCGACTTAACGAGTTCACATAGTTTTCGGAACATGCAAAATAGTTTATCGACTTTTTCACTCGCTTTGGTTTACAAAGAGACTCTGTTGTCAGAAAAAGCCAAGCCACACAATCAGGGAGATTATTTGGTATTGAAAAATAATGACACGTTAAAAAAATTGATTAAAAGCCAAGACTGTTGTGGATTTAAGTTAAGGTGGAATGCTGACATCCATACGATTACCCCGATAGTCGGCGTGGGAAGACTTCGGCTACTGGTGTCAGTGTCACAGCACAACATACAGGCATCAGTGCGCATGTTCGTTATCACGTGATCGTTGATGCCTCGTATTCGTGAAATGTTTGCAAACAAATAGATGTTGTCAGTGTTGTGGTGACGTCACGACCTGTATTGACGGCTCTAGGACGGGATGTGTTCACAATCAATATGTTACTGATGAATTGGGAGTGTTTTTGTCCTTGAAGAAAATGTAGGTTTGGAGTCGTTGTCGTTGTCGTTCTCTTCAAAGATTAATAAGGATTGTCAATCGAGCATTTTTGTCATGACGTTCGGTAACTCAGTTTGATCAAGCTAACATATTCTTGATTATCACACGTGTCCCCTAAATATAAATCACCAGGATAAACACTGACATTACACTGAGAAACTTGCTTGTCTGTGGCGAATACAACAGTCACTAATATGAAACTGTCAATGTGTACAGTACAACAGCCGCCACTCTGACACTGTCAATGTGTAGTCAGTACAACGGTCGCCACTCTGGCACTGTCAACGTGTACAGTACAACAGTCGCCACTCTGACACTGTCAATGTGTAGTCAGTACAACAGTTGCCACTCTGACACTGTCAACGTGTACAGTACAACAGTCGCCACTCTGACACTGTCAATGTGTAGTCAGTACAACAGCCGCCACTCTGACACTGTCAACGTGTAGTCAGTACAACAGCCGCCACTCTGACACTGTCAATGTGTAGTCAGTACAACAGTCGCCGCTCTGACACTGTCAATGTGTACAGTACAACAGTCGCCACTCTGACACTGTCAACGTGTAGTCAGTACAACAGCCGCCACTCTGACACTGTCAATGTGTACAGTACAACAGTCACCACTCTGACACTGTCAATGTGTACAGTACAACTGTCGCCACTCTGACACTGTCAATGTGTAGTCAGTACAACAGTCGCCGCTCTGACACTGTCAATGTGTACAGTACAACAGTCGCCACTCTGACACTGTCAATGTGTAGTCAGTACAACAGCCGCCACTCTGACACTGTCAATGTGTACAGTACAACAGTCACCACTCTGACACTGTCAATGTGTACAGTACAACAGTCGCCACTCTGACACTGGCAATGATTACAGTACAACAGTCGCCACTCTGACACTGTCAATGTGTACAGTACAACAGTCACCACTCTGACACTGTCAATGTGTAGTCAGTACAACAGTCGCCGCTCTGTCATAGTCAATGTATACAGTACAACAGTCGCCACTCTGACACTGTCAATGTGTACAGTACAACAGTCGCCACTCTGACACTGTCAATGTGTACAGTACAGCAGTCGCCACTCTGACACTGTCAATGTGTAGTCAGTACAACAGTCGCCACTCTGACACTGTCAATGTGTACAGTACAACAATCGCCACTCTGGCACTGTCAATGTGTAGTCAGTACAACAGTCGCCGCTCTGTCATAGTCAATGTATACAGTACAACTGTCGCCACTCTGACACTGTCAATGTGTAGTCAGTACAACAGTCGCCACTCTGACACTGTCAATGTGTAGTCAGTACAACAGTCGCCGCTCTGACACTGGCAATGATTACAGTACAACAGTCGCCAATCTGACACTGTCAATGTGTACAGTACAGCAGTCGCCACTCTGACACTGTCAATGTGTAGTCAGTACAACAGTCGCAACTCTGACACTGTCAATGTGTAGTCAGTACAACAGTCGCCACTCTGACACTGGCAATGATTACAGTACAACAGTCGCCAATCTGACACTGTCAATGTGTACAGTACAGCAGTCGCCACTCTGACACTGTCAATGTGTAGTCAGTACAACAGTCGCAACTCTGACACTGTCAATGTGTAGTCAGTACAACAGTCGCCACTCTGTCATAGTCAATGTATACAGTACAACAGTCGCCGCTCTGGCACTGTCAATGTGTAGTCAGTACAACAGTCGCCACTCTGTCATAGTCAATG